CTGAGGACCTCGGAAGTGGGCGTGGCGAGTGACAGGCGTCGTTGCCCCTGGCTTCAGCGTGCGATAGGGGCCCCTCCCCGGGTTATCTCATAACAACGCAACACTGGCATATAGGCAAGCAGGGCGAGTGGGCAAGGATCTTGGCCATTGCGGGCAATGCCGGCACGCTGTGCTAATGCGGCAGGCTGCTGCGCTGCGCTAGGATGAGGTGCGAGGCAGGCAGGCGCTAGGCGGTAGGGCGCTGTCTGTGCACAGGGCGTTGGCGGCCATAGCCGGGCTGCCTAAGGGCGCAGGGGAGGTGAGGGCAAAGGTGGTTCTTCGGAGGAGAAGGGCGCTGTGTGGGATAACAAGGGAGAGTGTGGGTGAAGGAGAGAGACGTACCTGGTGGAGGTGGAGGTCGGCATTGGTGTTGACATCATCACTCGCTGGTCGTCAAGTTGTCTGGTTGCTTTCATTGCTGTAGTTGTAGGCTTAGGCTGTAGAGTAGATAGGGCGCCYGRCRCCATTCAGGAGAGAGAGCYACATTGGGTTATGCTGTTGGTGTTGCCCTGTTGGGCTTGGACATTGACTCACGATTCTTCTGTATCATTCTCAAATGGATGGTTACTCGGTTCCATTGTGCTATCTGCTCTTGCTTTGACTACTTGGACTTCAGGGTGATTTTGCAATCTGGATTTCTGTGCTTCGTCCATATTCATGTTCCTTGCAATTTGGTATCGGAGCTGGTTTGATTCGCCACTTACCTTGGTGCGCTGGCGTTATACAGACTTGGTGCGTTGACGATGCTTCTTCGCAGTTGGTTCTTGTGACATCAGGCCATGATTAGGCGCACAGCCTGGGTAGAGAGGTGTGCGCCGGAAGGCTAAGACGACATTAATCCGTGGTGACAGGCGGAATGTATGATTGGTGATGAGAGCATGCTGATGTGGCATTCGGCTGAGGTGGCACTGCATTGCGTTGTGAGTGGTATCGAGGCCAAGCCTGGTCATCAAATGCACACTCAGCTGAATTGGTGAGAAATTTGTGGTTGGGGGCAGCTATCTCCAGGTACGTTGTTCCCTTACCTTATCTACTCTCTCAATCTCTCCTTACCGTGAGGAAGTGAGTCCAACTTGAGAGTCCTCTCTTTTGGTGAGGTGTCGTGAGCGCGCTACCTTGAGAGACGACAATCTTCCCGGAAGCATCTGGAAGGAGAAAGGGCGGTGCCTCTGAAGGGCCCTGGTCGAAGCACTGGGTCACGGTCACCATGCCAACCCAATGGGAGTAGGTCACGCATGCGATGGCTGCTGTCCATTTTGGCACTTGCTGCGCTGAAAAGTCCTGCTGGGTGTGCCAGCCTTTTTGGGGACTTGGTTGATTCTGGCTGTGATCGTCGTCCTGACTGCGACGTTAAATAATTCCTCCTGATCAGCCAGATCAACCGGGTGTAAGGCTCGTTCCGTACGAGGGTAAATAAGAGTGGACTGGCTGGCTTGCTCGGCAACGACTTGGGCACAGGGGTGGGCCGACATTGCACACGAATGACACCGCTGCTCATTGATGCTTACCGGTATGTTGGGTTGAGGGGAAGGGTAGGTTCTAATTGATGCTCAACCGGAAACACAACCATACCCACTGATCATACATCTGCAACATGTTTTTTTTGTATTCTTGATTAGTTGGTGGACAGACTGCTAACACCTCACAGACAGATTAGAGTAGGACTGTTGTATACTACCATAGCCAGTTCTATCTAATGCTGTTGTAAGTGAACCAATCAAGATACATCTAGACTATGTTGACAATCTGTTGTGAATGTTGTAGGCTGCCACTTGATTGGTAAAGTAGGGGACCTGCCGGACACAACTATTTTTAGAAAATTAGGTGCCGGTCAGACACATGCTGCGGTAGGGCTCCAACAGGGGAATGTAGTGCAGATACTGTCTGCCTAACTGATGAGTGGGTCAGACACCGATGAGGGTCGAGTTGACAATGTGAGACTTACACGTTCGGGAGCACTTAGGGTCCCGCACGTGTACCAGGCCTTAGAACCGGAAGACGAACGACGGATACGTGCCGAATACAGAGCCCGGGCGCTAGCAGCAGGGATAGCAGCAGCAAACGCAGCAGCTAGAGAGCAGGCAGCCGTAGCCAGAGCATTAGCAATGGCTAATGGCACAAGCTCTGCTGCGTCATCATCTGCATCCTCGTCTGCATCCTCGTCAGGGACCAATGGGACCCTGTTGGGAATGCCGCAGGGTACTTCCGGGGCAGTAAGTTCTAGTCAGTCCACAAGTCAAATGGCGGGCTCGCAGTTTAGCCCGTTGACCCCACGCGGCAGGGAGCTTTTAGAGTTCCAACAGGTCGAGAGGATCCGCTTGAAGTTAGAGAGGGAACTGAAGCAAGCAACCGACAGAGAAAACGAGATCAAACGAAGAGCAGCCAGGCTTGAAACGTTAGAGGCAGACAAAGCTGAGTTAGAGGGATTGGATGAGTCAGGATTGTCTGACCCAATGAAAGTCTTGAAGAACAATATGTTGTCGCTGCATGCGCACGTGGACAACCGATTGGACTTCATGCAGAGCACCCTAGACCAGATCCTGGACATTTTGCAAAGGCGAGGATTTCGGCCGCCAGCACAGTCGCCGTTGCCGTTAACGGCGATGTCTGGCCCCTTTCCCGTACAAGCTGGCACACAACCAAGTGGCACGTCTGCAGCAACTGCACAGACTGTTGCTTCTCCTCTTCGGGTCCAGCAGTGGGTGCTACACCACGACAACAACCTGTTCCGCAACAGGGACAGCCACAAGGTCAATGGTACCCTAAGACCCCAATGAAAACGCCGCTTGCCTTGGTGAGAGGAAGGACGAAGAACTCAACACTTGGTTGAGAATAGTTCCGGTTTGGGTGAAGGCGAAGAGGACCTTGCCAGAGGACGAAGTGGTTACTGTTGCATCTTACCTCGAGGGTAAGGCAGCCAAATGGCTAGATGGTATAGTTGCAAAGGCCGGGTATGGACGACGTATGGCGGACTGGGCTCAGTCTGTTACGTTAGACCAGTTCTTTGAGATGGTAGAAGCTCGTTGACACAATCCTCAACAGGGACAAATATCCACTAATGCGATAAACAAACTAGATCAAAGAAAGTTTAAGTCAGTCAGAGAGCTTACGACTACCATAGAGAGCCTCATCGTCGCTCTAGGCATCAACTACAGTGACCAGTTCTTGTTGACTACGCTTGTTAGATGTCTTCCAGAGAACCTCAGGAACTTGCTGGCCAGCGAGGCTCGCCTCGAGTACCATTCGTTTGAGACATTGTCTAGAAAAGCCTTAGACTTAGAGGCTACACTAGGAAATGCTCAACCTTCTCAGAATGATGCAAGGAAGAAGAAGAGTCCGCAGGAATGGAAGAAGAAGGGGGCGAAGTTGATGATGGCTGAGTCCGATGGGACTCAAACAGAAATTGATGAGCTCACAGACCTGTTGGACGGTTCAGAGTACGACGGCGAGGAGATCGCTGAGGGTAGCACCCTCGCCGCAGTAGTTAAGGATAAGGTTGGTGGCCGAGTGAAGGGCCTACCAAAGAGTCAAGGGAAGGCCGCCTCCAATTAGACCAAAGTGGCTGATTGGGTCAAGGCAGGTCTTGATCAAGACGTGTGGCGGGACCGCCGAGTGCGTGGCGCTTGTATAAACYGTGGTGAATACGGACACACCCAGTACAAGTGCCAAAACGCAAAGGTCACGCAGAAGATACCTCCTAAGATGGGGGCATCTTCTTCCCAGGCTTCT